GGCACTCATGAGGCAAAGGCAAGCAGATTGCTGAGTTCAAGGCTAGCCTGGTCTACAGAGCAAATTCCAGGACAGCTAGGGTTGTTACATAAAGAAACCCTGTCTAAAAAAATTAAACAAGCAAACAATAAAATAAGAAAGGGAAAACTATGATTCAGTATGATAGGGTTTGGGGATTTTTTTTAAGATTTCATTCATATATGTGTGTCTGTCTATATGCCACATACATGCGGATGCTCCTCAAGTGTTGAAATAGGAGCAGCGGGGCTGTGTCCCCAGCACCCAGCTACCTTTACCCGAAATAATTACACGGGAACTGTATTCTTTTAAACACCGCTTGGCCCATTAGTTCCAGCCTCTTCTTGGCTAACTCTCGCACCTGGACTAACCCATTTCTAATAATCTGTGTAGCCCACGAGGTGGCCTACCAGGGAAGATCTTAACCTGCGTCTGTCTGGAGTGGGAGAATCATGGTGACTCTTTACTCAGCTTTCTTTCTCCCAGCATTCTGTTCTGTTTACTCCACCCACCTACGGGTTGGCCTATCAAATGGGCCTAGGCAGTTTCTTTATTAATTAACCAATGAAAGCAACAGATCAGAAAATCACTCCCACATCACTCAAGGCTAGAAGAGGGTGCCAGACCCACTGACCCTGAAGTTAAGGGCAGTTGCGAACTGACGTGGGCGCTGGGAACCACACCCCTGTCCTCCAGACAAGCAACAAGCACTTGTAAATGCTGAGTTGAGCCATTTTTCCAGTCCTGAAGGTCTTACTGTGATCTGATTTTAGGAAACTCTATTCAGAGAACACACTGCATCCAAATGTCTCAAATTCAAGAGAACTTTGTACAATGAAGGAGTCTCTCATTCTGGGACACATAGGATCAACTTAGGTCAATCCAGAGCGAAGAAACTGAGAAATACAACTACTCATTTTCCCTTGAGACAAAAAGTCCTTAATCAGTAGGAACACAAACCTATAAACCATTAGTCTGACAAAGTTTTCTTTTAAATTATGTTTTATGTTTATTTAGTGTGCATGTACATACACATTGGCCATAGCTGAGTATGAAGGCCACACGACTTTAGGAAGCCTATTCTCTCTGTGCACCATGTGGATCAGAGACCAAACTCAGGTCATCAGGCTTGATGCTAGAGGCTTTATGTGCTAGTTTTCCCACGATACCACCTTGAGACGAGACCTACGGACTATGGAGAGTTGGCCCAAGTATTATTGTAAGAGTTTATAAACCCAAGCCTGCAATGATTATTGACTCTCTGAAGCTGACACCCTGGCACACATGGTTTGTGACTGAAACAAAACCTGAGCCCACATCCTGGGGTGATCAGTTTCCCATCTCCTCTTTCCTCATTAGAATAGGAAGAGTGCTTTTCTAAAGAGCACAGAGACCAGCCGGGTGGTGGTGTCACATACTTTAATCCCAGCACTCAGGAGGCAGAAGCAGGTATATCTCTGTGAGTTCGAGGCCAGCCCGGTGTACATAGCAAGTCCAGTACAGTAAGGGCTGTTACAGAGAAACCCTGTCTCAAAAAACAAAACAAAGAAAAAGTACGGGATGGCAGACAGAATGCTACCTTTCCTCAGTTTGCCTGTTCTGTCAGTGCTCAGTTTACTTTTTCCACTCACTAAGGCACTGGGGCGAACCTTGATGCTTGGACATTTGTTCTCACTAGGTGTTGAACTGATGTGGGCAAGGCTTAACAAGACAAAGCGGGGGAAGTCGGGAAGTGTGCTGGAGTGCGGGCTCTGACAGCAGCTCTGAACACGCAAGGGGAAACCTCTAAAACGAAGAAGCTCCTTGGCGGAACTGACTTTTGAAAACCATTTAAATGGCATTTATTTGTGTGAATGGAGGTGGGTGCAAGAACATCTTGCAGGAGGGAGTTTTTTTTCCTTCCACAATCTGACTACCAGAGATCAAACTTGGGCCTCACGCCAGTGCCTCTTTACGCCATCATGCAGGTCTAACACTTAACTTCTGACCTGGTCATCCTCAGATGCCGCAAGACAGTTTGAAAAGACAGAATGGCAAGAGGGTCCTGCTTGGACTCCCGTTTTTCCTCCCTAGAAGATTCCATTATCAGAGAACACAATGGCAGTTCCAGGTCGGAGATTAACAAACGGCTACTTACCGCTGGTAAGAATCCAGCATCACACCAAAGCAATGATCCCACCAAAGACCAACGTGGAGAACAATGACTTTATTGAGATTTACTTACAGGAGTATGAATGAGGGGTTACTTACAGGCATATGGGTGACTCAAAGTCAGTTGCATCACCAAAAAGTACACCGAGGAAGGGTGACCACACCAAAAAATAAAATAAAATAAAAATATTCAACCCTATAGCTGCTCCCTACGCAATTTTCAGGCAGTCATAATATTTACAAAATTTTAATTAAGTACTTTGCTGCTTATTATCTTATGTTTCATTCATTTATTCATTTGAATAAAGTTAGGGTTGAAAGGGAGACATTATAATACATGGGAAATAAAATGCAGAGGATAATTTGAGGATACTTTGAAAGCTGCTATCACAAACGGGAAAATCAAGGATAATTTCAAGACAGTTATGAAATATCAAAATTAAGTCAAGAGGTGGAGTCCCATAGACAACCCCCCTAATATTATAGGTATTGCTATTGTCCTTGGTTACCACACAGAACTTGATGATAAGACCCTATTACTGAAGACACCACTTACTGAGTAATGGAACATGAAGAAATCAAGTTTATTCTGACCTAGAGGCTTCATCCTATTGCTTGCTTTCATGGCGCTGGAAGGGGCTGTGCCTACTACCAGAGGAGAAGACTCTGCAGGAAGCCTACCCAGCTGAGACCCCTCTGGTCTACAGTGATAACCAGTCTGACAAGATATGACCATGGCTATGGCATGAATGTTGTTGGAATAACCAACTACTTTTTGACTGGATTTAAGGCCAACTCCACACTCTCTACAAGATGGAACTCATGCCTGGTACCATTAATATGGAGAACTTTCTACTGCTATTCTGTTAAAAGGACATGGTGCTAAATCCAACTCTTCTGGGTATCTTAACACCCATAGATAAATTTCTCTCTCTCAACCTTTATCACGAGACTGGGTATTTTTTTTGTTTGGTTTTTGTCCTTTGTTTTTTAGTAGATGGCAATTATCAGACTCACAGCTGAAACTCACAGAGAAAAAGAGATTACGGAGGGCTAACCCCTAAATGCAACATGTAACTGTATCAAATCCCTTCTCTCAGGGGACCTGGGACCATTGCTGCAAGAGGGAGCAGAAAGATTGGAAGAGCCAGAGGCAGTGGATTATTAGAGTCACATGGTGTGCTCTCGACCTAACAGGACAGCTGCACATACTAACTGACAAACAGCTGTGATTGCAGACAAGCTCTAGCCAGACAAAAACCCAGGCATGGGAGGGGAAGGTGTTTAGAAAGCCCCACCCCTGAGTATCTATTGACAACTGATGACTGCTGGGAGGGGAAGCGTCAGTTTTCTTCAGGGAGAGGCTATTCAGGCGACGGTGGATGGGCCTGCACCCGTGCACACACTGGCAGCATTAGGAAACTCTAGAGGTTGGTTAAACATGGAAGAGAAGAAATGGAAATGGAGAGGTAAAAGTGGTGATGGGGATAGAAGAATTAGAAGGAAAGAAATGAAAGTAGGTGGGCTTGATAAAAATGCATGCATAAAATTCTCAGTCAATAACAAAATAAAATGAACAGATGAAGAGAAAATAAATGAAGGGAATGTGAACAATGTAAGAGCAGCAAAGGTAGACTAGCAATGAGTTTGCCCCCAAACGGAAACATACAGGGCTGAATGAATTCACTACTGAAGCCAACCAAGCTTCTTAAACTAGTTCACCAAATAGAAAGGGACTAAACACTAACTTATTCTTGGAAGGTAGTATTACCTTCATAGCAAAACCACGAAGGACTCAACAACAAAGAAAAATAAAAAAAAAAAACCTTGATGAAAACAGATCAAAACCAAACAAACAAAACCCTCAAAATTATACTTCCAAACAAATTCAACATCTTAAAAATACCACAAACTACGATCAGGTTGATTTCATTCTTTTCATATAAGTGTTTCCACAGATAGCAATCAGTAAATGTAACAGAGAACATAGATGTTCAAGGACTGAAATCCCCCATCACTGCACTTCATGGAGAAGTGAACTCTGTCCAAAGTTCAACGTCCCTTGATGATACAGTCCTGAAAAAACTAGGAAAAGAAACACAGCTCACTGTAACAAGTTATACACGACAAAACTAGAGCCAAGATTGTACCAAGCAGGAAAACTAAAATCATTCTACCAGGAATAACACAAAGGTGTCCACCTTCTCTATACTGTAATATCATCTCGAGTTCTCAGTCGGAAAAATAGGGGAAAAGAAAGGAAAGGGATCGAGTACAGGGCTGCAGTTCAGTGGCCCAGCACCTGCCTATCACCACCATCTCCTCAGTTCCGTCGTGAACATAAGGAAAGAAAAAGGAAGTGAAATAAGAAGTCAAATCTCTATTTGTAGTCAATATGATCATCTTTTAAAAAACTATTTTGCCTGTATGTATGTCTGTGTACCATGTGCATGTCTGGTGCCCAGAGACCAGAAAAGGGAGCTGGATCCCATGGAACTGGAGTCACAGATGTGAGCTGCAGAAACAAGCCTCAGGCCATCTCTCCAGCCCCTGTGATCAGATTCTTAAAAGACCCAAGCAGCCACACCAAAAGACTCTACATCTGATCACTACTTCAGCAAAGTAGCACAATAAAGTCAGTATAGAAAAATCAGTAGCCGCCGGGCGGTGGTGGCGCACGCCTTTAATCCCAGCACTCGGGAGGCAGAGACAGGCGGATCTCTGTGAGTTCTAGGCCAGCCTGGTCTACAGGAGCTAGTGCCAGGACAGGCTCCAAAGCTACAGAGAAACCCTGCCTCGAAAAACTAAAAAAAAAAAAAAAAAAAAGAAAAATCAGTAGCCGTTTATACGACAATGAAAATAGTAATAAAACAATCAAGGAAAAAATGTTCCAAAAGCCTAAGAAGTAAGTTACAAGACAAAAAGTCAAATTTATCTATGAATAAATAAACTTAGTCAAGCCAGTGAAAGGAGTACACAATGACAACTTAAAAACACTTAAGAATTGACTTCTCTGAAAAATGGAAAACATCCCTATACTCACAAATCAGCACCATTATGAGAAAGTGTAATGTGTTCTGCAGACTCCACACAACCCCCCATCAAAACTCCAATGTCATTATTTACAGAAATAGAAAACACAATCCTGTAATTGTAAGAAAACCAAAACACCCCAAATAGTCAAAGTAACACTGAGCAAAAAGCAATGCTAGCTAGCGTTATCGCAATACTCAAATTATGCTATAAAACCATAGTGAAACAGTATAACATAAAAGCAGACACATAGAACAATACAAGAGTACAGTGCCCAAACAACCACGTAGCTGCAATCTTCTGATTTCAGCAAAGGCATCCAAACCACGTATAGTGTAATAAATGGCCTCTTCAACAAGGAAAACAATCCTGTATGTACAAGAATATCCCTAAGTGCCTCTAGCATTCTGTACAAACGCCAACTCAAACTGAACCAAAGACCTTAACGTAAGGCCTAAAAAATGTGTAACTTATAGAGGAAAATCTAAAGAATACATGAAGCTGAGAGCACAGACAATGGTATTCTGAATCTAAGAATTTACAGGAAGAATGGCAAATAGGGAATAGCCACGACAGCCTTAGGATTACAATGTTGACACCCAAGAACCAGAGGCAGGACACTGCTGTAAATTAGATGCTAACCTGGTATATGCAGCAAATCCCAGGCCAGTCAGGCCTCCATAGCAAGAATGTTAAAGACAAACAAACAAACCAAAAAAAAAAAAAAAACCAACAAAACAAAACAAAACAAAAAACCCTCAATTTAATCACTGCATGAAGATAAAAGAGCTTTTACACAGAAAAAAAAAAATCAACTGTCAGAGAAAGCTACATAATGGGGGGAACTATCCTTGGATACTCATTCATCTTTTAAGAGATTAATGTACAGAAAATACACACACACATTGCAAACCAACAAACAACTGCATCAATACACAGGGAATCAATCAGTTCTCAAACAATAAATCATGAAATATTCTCAAACAATAAATCATGAAACCAGTTCTCAAACAATAAATCACAAAATATTCTCAAACAATAAATCATGAAATCGGTTCTCAAACAATAAATCATGAGTATTCTCAATATTTATTAAGTTCACCTAGTGTGATTAGTTATCAAAGAACCAAACTCAAACAAGCTGGTGGGACTGCAGGGCTGTTCCTAGAAATGTACGTTAACATATTCACTCTGAAAACAGTGTTTCATCAAAACCTCAAACTCTTATGATCCTGGTTACTACTGTTTAAAATACAGCAAAAGGAATCAAAGGCGGATTATACTATGCATACTTGTATACAGGTTTATATACTCCTCCCCCTAGTACTCAATTACAGAATCAGCCTAAGTGCCCATCAATAGATAAACTAAAAAATTTCAAATGTGGCATACATAAAATGTGGACTACAATAGGTCACTGAGAACTCAACAGGAAACTTGGCAGGAAAATGGATGGAACTGGAAATCACCACGTAAATGACGCTCAGCCCCCAAATGGTGCTCTCTGTATACAGAACAGAATCTAGAGTTAACAAATGAGAGAGATGAAATCATAAGTGAGTCTGTTAGAGAGAACAGGCCCACTAGGGAGAAGGAAAGGAACAAGACAGTGATTATAGTTAAAGTACATGGAAACCTGGGCCACGATGTCAGGACAAAACCTATAATTTTTTTTTTTTTTGGGTTTTTCGAGACAGGGTTTCTCTGTGGTTTTGGAGCCTATCCTGGAACTAGCTCTTGTAGACCAGGCTGGTCTCGAACTCACAGAGATCCGCCTGCCTCTGCCTCCCGAGTGCTGGGATTAAAGGCGTGCGCCACCACCGCCCGGCCCAAAACCTATAATTATGCCAACATACGAACTAATTTTAAATCATTTTTTAAAAATTAAGTATAAAGAAAATGAAAATTTTCCCAACTTTAGGAAAATATAAGTTGGCCCAAAATGTTGGTGTAGACTAGTGTGAGGTTGGATGATCGCCAGGGTGAAAGGAAAGTGCTTTTCTTATAGTTGTCACTTTACCATGGGCTTCTCATAGTGTGACCCTATGGGAGGAAACTAGGATATGTGGATAACTGCATTAGTGTTTATATAGAAACTAAGAAATGCAAAAACGATCCAAACACTAGTTCACCTCACTCAGCAAGGCCACATCTTCTGCCACTAAAGGCCATGTCACAAGTCTCCACCAATGAGAAATGCTCCTTAATGACTGACAGAAGGGCATTCTAGAAGGACATCTGTAAGTTGAAAAACCGTCACACATTCTGAATTGTGGAAGTGCCTTCTACTCACTGATGGACTGACAAATTGCATGACCCAGAACTCCAGTACTGCGGTCTTCCGGGTAACTACTGCTGTTGTGATTACAAGAGCAGAATTACATTTGCCCCTCACCGCACCCAAGATGAGGGATACCTAAGTGCAGAATCAATCCTTGTAAGACCCCCTAATTAAAACATCAGTCCTGTCAGAAGTTCTAGCTTTTTACAGATGAGCCACTCATGTGTCATGTATGGAGAGAGTTAGTAGAATTTATTGAACACAGTTTGGGGCAAGAAGGCAATAATACCAGTATATTCTTTAGTGAATGACTAGAGAAATTACAACAAAAATAAAATATACAGGAAAGCAAAACTCACACAGTGAAATTTCATAATTACACACACACACACACACACACACACACACACAAATAGTTCATAACATAAAACAAATCTAAGTGCAAGTTGACAACAGCTTGGCCTACAGAGAAAGTTCCAGGCTATCCAAGGCTACATATAATCATCAACTCCAAAAACCCCCCCAAATTTCCACCATCCACTCAGCTCTTGGCACCAACACACCTTGGCTACTCTCAATTTTGGTCAGAACAGCTTCTTTTTACCATGGAGAGCTGTCAATGGAGAGATGCCTAACTAGGAACAGACTGAATATTTACCTCTAAATGAGACAGCTGTATTAACCCCCACCCAGGCTTAGGGAAAGCCAAAGAAGAAGCAACAATGCAAGAACTAAAGGGCGGGGAGGACTTCTGTGAAGTGCTGGGGCTTCTGATATGGTTACTAGGATCATGAACTCATAGCACCACGTGACTGCATGCACACAACCTATAAAATTAAGCAGTCCAAAATCCCAGGATAGATGGGGTAGGTTATCTTCAGGCCCCGCCCCTTACTGAGAAGTTGCCGGCAGTGAATAGCTGCTGGGGTGAGAAGAATCATTTGTGAGGACGTAACTACCGGAAGGTCACCCATCCTCCAGTGGATGGCCCCATACCCATGCATGTATGAGCAATACTAATGAGATCTAGTGGGTTAATTAAAAAGACATAAAGCTATGAGAAGGGTATTAGGGAGAATACAGGGAGAGTTGGAAGGAGAAATAGAGGATACATATGATCATCTTTTATTGTATACATGTATGAAATTCTCAAAAGTAAAAAATAAGCCAACTTGGAAAAGTGACCTGACCTATGATTACAATAAACTTACACCTACCTTCTGACTAGGAAAAACAAAACTAAACACACCCTTACATTTGCTATTCTAAAAGGATTTTGAAAATACTTCAAAGTTGAAAGAACATGTATGTACTTAAAAGACAGTGAGAACACATCAGAGAGAAACATAAACACAAGAGATGAAATCAAATTGAAAGTAGTTTATGCCTGAGGAGGTGGCTGACTGGGTAAGACCACTTGCTGTGAGGACTAGTTTCATTCCCTATCAACAAAAAACTGGGATTGACTGAATGTGTCTGTACACCCAGCACCATGGGGAGTGAAGAGACAAGAAATGCTGGGTTTTCTTGGCTGTCTGTCTAGTTCCAGGATCAATGAGACCTGTCTTGGGGGAATAACATAGCAATAGAGTAAGACACCCAAAATATTCCTTTGTGAACACCACCAGCACATAAACCATACCATCAACACATAAGCAATGCTCCCAAGTGTTTTTTTTTCTTTTGTCATAAAAAATGAGAGTATAGACAAAATCAGGCAAATGAAACCAATAGGACTATTCCAATATTCACAAAGTGATATTTTAACCACCCATTAAACATGATTTCTGCAGGAGCTTGAGGGAAGGCTCAGCAGTTAAGAGTACGTACTGCTCTATCATGAAGATCACACACATCAATCATGTCAGATATCTGTTAATATCTGTAAGATGGCTCCAAAGGATGTAACATTATCTTCTGGCCTCTACAAGCACATACCTACTCTCTTTTTCTTGCTTACACACATACATAGATACTAAAATGCTTTTTAAAGATATTTATGGACTGGCATATTTCATATATCAATTCATCAATAAATCCACATAATGTACAATGAAGGAAGCACCTACCTTATTTGATACAAAAAGACATCACTCATTAAACTAATACATGATTGCTTTAAGAAACCTCACAAACTAATTTAATTAAAATGCACTTTTGATTTTTTTCATATGCAGGTCTTTCTGGTCTCCAGCTCATGGGTTTTAGTTGCCATTCCACAGTACACAATGCTCTGCCTAAGGCTTGCTTTGGAGAGTAAGATTTAGAAACGAGTCAAGAGATGAACTGTTAAACAGGAGTTAATGATTGTGAATGTGGAAGTGGACACCTTTCATTAAGTGTTCAAGAGTTAGGAGTTGGAAGATTACCAGTTTTAGGTAAACCTGGGATACACAGCAAAAGCTTTTTCTTGGGCGGGAAGAGGGGCTTGAGAAAAATTTAAATTTTATTTTTATGTGTACATGTGAACCTATGTCACATGTATGTGGGAAGAATTGGATCTCCAGGAACTGGAGTCACAAGCAGCTGTGAGTCCTGTGATCGGGTGCTGAAAACCAAATGTAGGTCCTTTGGAAAAGCAGCAAATGCTCTTAAAGGCTAAGCCATCCCTATCAGCCCCTGAAATTTTCCAGTAAATACAAAATACTGTACTGACAACATTCTTTTCAGTGTATGCATTTCCTGGAGCATGCTACAAGAAAAAGAAAACAAAACAAAAAACCTATTATGTCCAGTCCTTCATAATACTGACATTTATCAGATTAAATATGAAAAGATTTCAAAGGACTTTTCCTATATTCACTACTGTTCTAGACTTTCAATGTTTTCAACAGCAAAGGTTTTCATCTGGTGTGTTTTGTTTCCATGTGTGCCAAATGAAACCTTGAACGTCTCTTTCAAGCAAATCAACACTTCATATCAGGTTCTTTCCTTATCTCTTAGTTGAACCAAGTGGTGTTCATACTGGTTTTCCTTTGATAGGAATTCTCCCCATGTACATTCTTGTGAGTGCTATCGGGATGATACTGAAGAGCTCACAAATCCTATTTTGAAGGTTCCTCTACCGTAGGTTCTTTCATGTCTGTGAGAGAATGTGATGATAACTGAAGATTATCAAAGATTGCCTACATATGTGAAGGGTTTCTCTCCGTCGTGACTCCTTCCACGTAGTCAAGAAGAACGGGGAAGTGAAGGGCTTTTTTACAACACCACATATACAAGTAGAAAGTTTCTCTAGAGCTCTCATGTCTCCTCCATGATCTGGGACTGCAGAAGGCTTCACCACATCACTCACAGTCACAGGCCTGTTTTCCTTTCATGGACTTCCGGGAACTTTAAGCATTTGCATACTGAGTTTTTTTTAAAAAAAAGTTTCTCTCCATTGTGGCACTTCATGTTTGTTTCAATGAAACAAAGCAAAAGGTTTTTCCACACTGCTAGCACAAATCCAGCTTTTACTCCCAGTGTGATTTTGTTTATTTCTTGGAAAGCTACCAAGCCAATTTTTTTTTTTTTTGCTCATTCATTATTAAAAAATACTGGAATCCATGGTAGTGTGGAGTAATTCATGCCTATGTAAATGGTTCAAAGTGAAGAAGGGTTTCCCACAGTACTTACAATTATAAGGGTCATCATCAATGTGTATTTTTTCATGCACCTGAAGATGACTGTAATACGTGAAAGCTTGCCCACACTGTTTGCACACGTGGGGTTTCCCATCACCATGAGTCTTTTCATGTCTCTGAAGGGAGTAAGACCAAAGAAAGGTTTTCCCACACTGCTTACACTCGTAGGGCTTCTCGCCAGTGTGAATTCTCTCATGTGTTTTCAGTGACCTGGAGGAAGTGAAGCTTTTCCCACACTGCTTGCAAATATAAGAAACTGGGACACTGTGAAGTGCTTTATGTTTTTGAAACTGACTCCAGAGGACGAAGGCATTCCCACATTGCTCACACACGTAAGGCTTTTCATCCACGTGAGTTTGCTCATGTTCTAGAAGGTCGGTGGAAGTAGCGAAGGCAACCCCACACTGCTTGCATACAAAGGGTTTCTCCTCCGTGTGAATTTTCACATGTCTTTGAAGAGAAGCAGAACGAGGAAAGGTTTTCCCACAATGATTACACACATAGGGTTTCTCACCAGTGTGGGTTATTTTATGTCTCAAAAGTGAATTCAGCCGAGTAAAGCTGTAGCCACACTGGTCACACACATAAGGCCTCTCCCCAGTGTGAATTCTTTCATGTGTTCTCAGGGAGCCAGAACACGTAAAGCTTTTCCCACATAGCTTGCAAGCATAGGGTTTCACACCACTGTGAATTATTTCATGTTTGCGTAACTGAATCCAACGCATGAAGGTGTTTCCGCACTGCTTACATTCATAAGGCGTTTCTCCAGTGTGGATTCGTTCATGTATTCGGAAAGAACGATAAGTAATGAAGGCTTTGCCACATGGTTTACATACATAAGGTTTCTCTCCAGTGTGAATTCTTGTATGAATCTGAAGAGAACTATAATGACGTAAGGTTTTCCCACAGTAATTGCACACAAAGAGGTCCCTAACAGAGTGAGTTCTTTTATGTGTTTTAAGGGAACGAGAGTGGGCAAAGGTTTTCCCACACTGCAGGCACACGTAGGGCTTCTCCCCAGTGTGGATTCTTTCATGTGTTTGTAGGTAGGTGGGAAAAGCAAAAGCTTTCCCACACTGCTTACATATATAGGATTTCTTGGCACGATGGCGTCGCTCATGCCTCCGAAAGTACCTTGAAGAACTGAAACCTTTCCCACATTGCTTACATTGGAAGGGCTTTTCTTCAGCTAAAGTCTTTTGAACATTTTGACCGTATCTATAGTCTTCATCACAGTTCTCACTTTTATACAGTCTCTCTAGGGTGTAAGTACTTTCATGGTTCTCAAAGGGTGGGAGGGAACTGGAGGTGGCTCCAAACTCCATCGTGTTGTACAAATCCTTTCCGTAGTCCCGCTCTTCATAGGATTCACGCTCTGTGTCAGGCTTAAGGAGCACACTTAGAGACAAATGGCCAATGACTACTCTTGCACACCCGCTGTTTTCACATATATGCACTCCTGGAAAGGGGTTCTGGTGTAGAATGCTCTGGGTAGTGAAGTCAAAGATTTCTGCACACTGATGATGATCGTCTTTATAGTCATAGAGTCCCTCCAGCACTTGGCCACTGTAAGAGAGCAAACGTGTGTCACTGATATTTTATTAACTAGCTATCAGTAGACATGCTGGCTCTAGGCTGTCGGGGTTTTTGCTTGAATGCTTTCAGCAATTCTAAAGACAATGGTAACAAAAACAGTGGTAGTCACAGGCGGTTGTATTATAGCATTTACATGTATAGCAAACATGTCTTTCGTTTTGTATTGTTTTTTTTCGAGACAGGGTTTCTCTGTGGTTTTGGAGCCTGTCCTGTAACTAGCTCTTGTAGACCAGGCTGGTCTCAAACTCACAGAGATCCGCCTGCCTCTGTCTCCCGAGTGCTGGGATTAAAGGCGTGAGCCACCACCGCCCGGCTTAGCAAACATGCTTTATGTCACACTAAAATACATATTTCAATTCTTGATGCCATCTTGGCACCTGAAGAGACCTGCTCTAAATAGGATTTCTAAAGGGCAAATTACTTAGATCAGAGATGTGCACACGTGTATGAAGCAAACAGCGGCACAGTGACTCCCGGAAGAAAAACTACAACAGTCATTTGGGGAAGGTAACTCAGGTCCATGAAACAGTGCCATACTTCAAGCCAAACTGTGAAGAAAACTTGCTGCAAAGGCCACTGGACACAGAATCCAAATGATACTGTACCCCTCATAGAGCTAAACTAATGAAAAATAAATAAAAGTGTATTCGTAAATTATTAACATATTCAGTTCTCAATACTGTACAATCTTGATGCACCATACAAATGACCACAATCATGTTACATGAACTACTTGAAAGTCCACAAGGAGATTTTGATATTTAATCCAAGCCTAAAAAGATACCTGCTTTTTGTATCATATATATTGTACACAAAAGGTTTGTGGATAAATCAATATTTAAATGTTGATAATATTGCATGGTGCAAAGTTGATACATATGAAGGATGATAAAAATCACTTTAGGCAATCATGATGTTCCAGTTATTTCCAGTAGTAGAATCCTTATAATGTTTTCAGAATGTTCATGTTTAATGTGTCTCCAGTTTTGAAGAAAATTCCCAGAGAACAGTTGAGCTTGAAACTAGATATACACATGTCTTTTACTACTTTACAAAATGTGCAAGCACACAACTCTTGAGGAACATGGCTGCCTCTTGAAGTCCATATTACCTTAGTTTTCTCCAGGAATTTCGGTATATATTTTCAATGACATGGTGCCCCAAACTGCTTCCTAAAACACAAACCAAGTGAAATCATTGTAAATTATCACATCATAGTAAATATGTTAAGAGATTCTAGCAAAATTTACAGTAAAGTGATCTGTCTCATGGGGGCTGAAGATATGGCTCAGTGGTTAAGAGCACTGACTGCTCCTCCAGAGGTCCTGGGTTCAATTCCCAGCACCCACATGGCAACTCACAACTGTCTGTAACTCCAGTTTCAGTGAACCCAACACCCATGGTAAAATACCAATGTACATAAAATAGAATTTTTTTAAAAAAATTAATCTATCTCATATATTCACTCAAAAGTTTCTTTACCACACTTAAACTCATGCAGAAGCACTTTTTCTTTGATTGACTAATTAAAGGAATGATGACATATTTACCTATAGAGGCCAAATTCCTCAAGGTTTCCTGCATCACATCTTTGTAGAGGTTCTTCTGGGATGGATTCAGCATAGCCCACTCCTCCAGGGAGAAGTTCACAGCCACATCCTCAAAGGTCACTGACTCCTAAAAGAGCCCATGTACATTTCCACAAGGAAGCGTAAGTCTCATAATACTGTAGAGCTAATCTCACTTCCTAAGAAATTGGTCAGATTCAACGTTCTATGTGCATTTAAGTTATATTGGTTATCACAATTACATCTCCCGCACACTAAGAATCTCCCACACAGTGATTCTGTTGGCAGACTTGGGGCTATCTGATAAAGCTACAATAGGACAGGCCCATCCTTGTTCAGATGGGTTGTGCTAAGTTCTCTTTGGCCATTGGTTCAACAGCTACAATGAATTCTGATTACCTAATGCCCCAAACCCAGTCAACACCAGCTGCCCCGAGACTGCATGTTCTTAGTAATGTGGAAGAAAACAACAGTACCTCTCCTGGTATCTGCAACTATTCAGTGGGACGCCTCCCGCTTCCCAACTGTAAAGAATAAAGTAGCTTTCCCAATAGTCGATATCAATTACACACTACTTTTATCATATCTATTTTCTCTCAGAATTCTTGTAATGTTTTTAAGCTCATCAGACAGAGCTTAGAACCCAATATATTCAGAGAACACAGGGACTAGAGGACCAGCATTTATTTATTGCTAGTTCCTGATGAGAGACCCAGAGTGATGAGGTACCTCAAGCTCTTCGTGCAATGCCTTCTTAGCCATGATGCTCTGGATCCGGGAACTATAAGCCAAGTCTATCCTCCCCCAAGATTTCTTCTTAAGGAAGCTGGAGAGATGGCTCGGGGACCAGGAGCACTTGCTGTTCTTGTGAGGACCAAAATGCTGGCTAGTTTAGGTCAACTTGACACCAGTTAGAGTCATCTTGGAAGAAGTAACCTCAATTGAAAATTTGCCCCTAGGGTTGGGCATAATGGTACACATGTCTCATCCCAGCACTTGAGAGGCAGGGGCAAGCATATCTCTGTGAATTTGAAGCCAGCCTGGTCTACATAGTGAGTTCCAGAACAGTTGGGCTATATAGTGAGACCCTGTCTCAATAATAATAATAATAATACTGCCATCAGATTGGTTTGTGGACCAATCTGCAATATATTTAATTGACTGATAATTGATGTAGAAGGGTCCGGCTCACTGTGGACGGCACACCCCTGGATAGTTAATCCTGGATGCTATAAAAACAGCCAGCAGAATAAGCCATAGGGACCCAGACAGTTAGTGGCACTCCTCCATGGCCTCTGCATCAATTCCTGTTTCTAGGTTCCTGTTTATTTAAGTTCCTGCCCAAACTTCCCGCAGTGACAGGACTGTGGTGGAACTGTGAAATAATACCCCCCTGCCCAAATTGCTTTTGACTATAGTATTTTACCTAACCACACCACACGACTCACAAACCACCTGTAACTCCAGAGAACCTAATGCCCCCTTTGGCTTCTCTTGGTGGGACACAAACAAGTAACAAAATAAATCTTGAAAATCAAAACATTTCTTCTTAGGAATTTTGTCACAGCAATTAGACAAAAAACTTAAGACAGGACTGCTTATGTGCAGTTGGCTGTACTAATACATTAACTGTACCATTTTTACTGGAGAATGTCAGTAGACAAAGACACAGAGGATGTCACATGTTCAAGAAGCAGCTCTAACTAGCCACCATGTCACCCGTCAGAGACATGTACAAAATTCTGTTCTTTCTAGAACAAACTTTCAAGAAGTGTGATGGTTAATGTTAATTGTCACTTTATAAAATTTATAATCATATTGGACACAAGTCCCCGGCACACCTATGATTATCTAGATTACATTGCCTGATGTGGGAACAAACATCTTAAGTGTTGGTAGTAGCATTCCCTAGCCACCCATCCAATTCTTCTTCCTGTTTGTGGGTCACCTGGGCAGTTGATTCGAGCTCCTGACATCCTGACCTCCCTGCCACGTAACTCAATATATTCCTCCAGTTACTATTACCAGGGTATTTTATCACAGCAACCAGGAGAGACGAGAAAACTGGTACCCTATATTGGAGCTATTCACATGATAAACATGACCATCTTAGGGAATGTTTTTGGGAGGAACAGGGAAAAACTTGGTATTTGGGTTAGAAAAGTCCTTGGATACCAAAAGCAGGGTTTAATGGGCAATGTTTGTGGATGTTTGAAAATCAACAATGCTGAGAGCACTTGATTGATAAAAATATCAGTGTCACTAGAGGAAAACCTACTGGGGCACAGTGGAACAATAGGAAAGATGGCATAAGGGCAAAAGCAGAGGCTTCAGCCTGAGGTGGCAGTAAAACTGGGCACTGGCATCCACATGGTATGAGTTTTGAAGGAATGAAGAACGTAAGATAGGGAGGTCATATGGAACAGCTGAGGTCTGGGACCACATAGGAAAATCAATGTCCTGCAAAGTGGGCCTTAGAAGTCACTGTGTGGAGCTCTGAAGGTGAAGTCTAAGTGACATTGGAGACCACAGAATACTGGAAATGCCAGGACCTCGACACCAGCTGCCTGCCAAGGACAGCTATAGGCACAGAGAGAAGCCAGTGTGAGACACAGACTACACATATCTGGGGTGGTGGGGGCTACCTAACCTTTGGAATGTAAACGATTTCACCAGATTTAGCTGTCAGGCACAGGGATGTATGATTTGGTGTTTGCCTTGCTGGACTTGCATCTTGCTTTGGTCCAATCATAACTTGACCCAATTCTTGCATTTTACAATAGGATTGCTTGCTCTGTATCATTATAATTTAGAATTATGTAGAGCTGCAGAGATTGCTCAGCAGTTAAGAGCACTGACTGCTCTTTCAGGGGGACCCAATTCAATTCTCAGCATCGATATGGCAGCTCACAACTATAACTTCAAGTTCCAGAGGGATATGATACCTTCACACAGACATACATGCAGGTAAAACATTGCTGCACACAAAAGAAAAACAAATAAGTAAATAAATAAATGTATATATTGGATGTATGTAACTTGTTTTCCATTTTATAAAAGCTCACAGTTAAGATACTTTGGAATCTCAATTTATTTAAATATGCTTAATGACTATGGGCAGTTTGGGTGTTGGGATAAATGCATATCACATTATAACATGGTCAGCAGTCTATGGAGATAAAGAGTGGAAGGCCATGGCTTAAAGGTGGTGATAAGTCCGACTGTCAAGCTGACAAGGGCTAGGTTAATACTCATTATCCACTTGACAGACTGTAGAATCGCCCAAGAGACCCAGGCTCCCGTGAGGGGTATCTAGACTGAGGTTAGCCTTTGAGGATGTTTCTGAGAGATTATGTTGATTACATTAATCAGTGCAGGCACATCCACCTTAATGGTGAGCAGGAGCCTTCCGTGGGTAGAGGATTCTGGACCATATAAAGTGAAGACAGTGACCTGAGAATCCGCATTTACCCATCATTTTCTATTTCCTGACTGGATGACATGCGTGTTTACTTCACCTGCTTGTTGCCCTGATTTCCCCACCACAGCAGACTGTACTGTAATCTGTGGACCGAATGAGCCCTTCCCCCTTAGCTTGCCTGTCAGATTCTTATTTAATCACAGATATAGGAAAAATAACTAATGAATATAATACATCTATTTTATCAAAGCAGTTGAAATCAATGTCCAACAGTTATTTATTATTTAAGTAAGGAAATAAAAGTTTGCCTAAAATGAACAAAAGACTGAACCAACAATGACCATGGCACTAAGCTATGGCCACAAATGAACTGCATGAAGGAAATCATTTTACGCAGCAATCTTGAAACACAAGAACTGATTATTGAGTAGAGATGGCAGATCAGATCTGTACACATAAGGCAAAGACAAACCAGCACCAGCTTGGGAACATGCACTATATTTCCCTCCACTCCATGGACAATAATCAAATATCCAGTCGTAGTCAGCCTGACTAAAATAATGGGCAACAATAGTTCCAGCGGGTTGGAGAGATGGCTTAGAGGTTAAGAGCACTGGTTGCTTTTCCAGAGGTCCTGAGTTCAATTCCCAACAACCATATGGTGGCTCCCAACCATCTGTAATGAGATCTGGCGCCCTCTTCAGGTGTGTAGGCATACATGCAGACAGAACACTATATACATAATAAATAAATACATCTTTAAAAAAATAATAAGCCCAGCACCTGGGAAATCAAAGCAGGAGATTTAGGGTTCATGGGTACTCTGGGTTATATATGCCACAAATAAGTATGAAGAAAAATTGCTGGGACACCCCCCCCAAAAAAAACCCAAAACAACAAAAAAACAAATTAACCACATAGTAGGTCAGCAAAATAGGTGGTCAGTGGGTAAAGATGCCTTCAACAAATCTGACGACCTGAGTTTGACCCCAGCATGAACCCGCACGCTAGAAGTAGAGAACTGAGGCTGTTTTCTGACTTCCCCACTTCACAGCACGTAACACACACAACACTTAGTAAAACACAAAACAACTAAAAACAGGAAACAACAACAAAACAAGTGACAAAAGTCTGTCTGAGCTCAGCAACGAACAGAGCCTTCTAGTTGAACCATGCATCTGTCCCATTATGTCATACAGGGAAACTGAGTGCTAACTCCTGTTTAATAGGTCACTTTGTTTTGTCCCGATGTCTTATGAGACTGAAGAAAAACAAAAACAAAAACAAAGAACCCAGTAGGGAGAAGAGAAGTGGACACAAATGTTAAACATATTTTAAAACAGATATAAGTGGGGGATGTATATATTTTCTTGGTGTTTTAAATGACATGTATGTACGTATTATGTAATGTCTGGCAAGGGGCAGAGAGGCGGAGAGAGGGAGGAGGGCGAGGAGAGGGACCTCCAGTACCATGTACACCTGTGGAGCTGAAAGAATAACTTCCGGGAGTTGGTTCTCTCCTTCCACCAGTAGGTCTCAGGGATGTAATTAAGGTGGTCAAGCTTGGTGGAAAATACCTTTACTCACCAAGTCAATTCATAGGCCCTGGGCTGTGTTTTTAGTAGGATGTGGAATAGAAATGTAAAATGCTTTTAGTGAGGAAGAATTTTAAATTGTGAATGTTGTAT